TTGGCTACCCAGCTCGGGTAATGGACTTCCCATATGAAGTCTGCTGCGAGGAGCTTCTCGACCTCCTCGTCGACCGCCCTCCAGCGCTCTGGGGCTAAGTTGCGTTTTTTTTTGTCTAACGGGTCTGACTACAGGGTCAGTATTAAGTTTGTGAGTTATCAGGCTGGGGATAATACCGGGCATGTCGGCCGCGGACCAGGCAAAAATATCTAAATTTTGAAGTAAAAAACTCACCAGTTTGGTTCGTAGTGGTTCCTTGACGGAAGCACCGATCTGTAGTGTGCGAGTTGGGTCTGTAGCCGAAGTCGGGACTGCGACTGTTTCCTCTGTGGGCGAAGCTCGTTCCTCGCCTTGCTCCGCAGGCCGCTCCAGTTCAAGGTCGTCGGCCACCTGGGTTTTTCCCTTTGGGGCAGCAACATAACACTTGTGGGACTCGAGCTGGTCGCCCCGCGCTACCCCTACACCGAAGTCTGTAGGGAACTTCATGGCCAAATAGTAGGTGGAGACCACTGCCCGTAGGATATGCGTGATTGGCCGCCCTATTATGGCATTGTATGGGGAGGGGRTCGCRACCACCAGGAAATCATGGTTGAGTTTGACCGCACAAGGCCATGTGCCGACTTTCACAGGTACTGTTATTTTTCCGAGGGGCTTGACTTCCTCTCCGCTGAAACCCACCAGAGGAGTGTTTGTGGGCTTCAGCTCGCTCCTCTGTAACTGTACCTGGTCAAATGCTGATTTGAAGAGGATGTCCGCTGAGCTGCCCGAATCTACGAGTACGCGTCTGACCTCGAAGTCGCTGATCCTTAGTTTAATGACAAGCGCGTCATCGGGGTGGTAGTGGACCCCTCGCGCGTCGTCTTCCGTGAAGAAGATCGGTTCTTCAGTCTTTGGTCTTTTTGGGGGGTTTCGTTCCTCGAGGGTTGCTTCGCGAACTGACGTCCGGGCTGCTGCCGAGGTACACCCTGCTACCACCGAACCTCCCACAATTACATGGATGGTTCCCCGAACTGGCCTCTCTTCCGGAGGCCGTCGTTGCAACGGTTCAGCTGGTCTGCTGCTAGATTCGGGGGCATCCTTTCCTTGCTCCCCTTGCCAACCTGCCTTATTGTTATTATTGTCATGCTGTACAAAATTTCTYAAGTATCYGCRACGGATGAGTCCCTCTATCTCGTCCCGGAGATTATTACACTGTTCGGTACTATGACCGTGGTCTCTATGGAAACTACAGTACAAATTCTTATTTCTCTCGTTCGGATTTCCCTTTAGGCGAGGTAACCACTTTATGTATGGGGCATCCTTGATCGTCATTAAGATCTCGGTCCGCCTCGTGTTTAACGGCGTGTAATCCGTCCGAACTGCTAGGGGAGCTCGGAACGACTGGTTCGGCTTTGGCTCTCGGGCCGGGTTTTTTCTGTCGACTGGGTTGGAGGGCT